TTTCTACGACAACGAGTTGGCTTAAATATTTTAAATTTTGCTTTAAATTTGAATACCGTGTGTTGCTTCTTACACGCACACATACAAATTGTTTGGTATCTAGGCAAATTAATTTTGCAAGCCAAATTATGAAAAACCAACCAACAAGGCACTTGTGTAAATAAGTAAAATTGTGGCTGCATACATACGAATATATTTATATATACCAATATATTTATATTCACGCATAAGAACCAGATGCTACGCAGCTCCTAAAATGCTGCAAGAAAATCACGATTGGAAATCAACAATTGGAAATGCACAAAAACAAAACTGCCAGCTGTATACTAAATATTAACTACAAAGAGAATTTAACGACAGTGACTTACAAAAAAAAAGAGAGAAAAAGTACAATGAAGAGTAAATGAGTAGCAGCACGCATGCGCCTAAAAAGCTACATACAGCAGGAAAATGTCACATGTCGAGGGAGAAGCACAGGAGGTAATAGCGCAAATGCGTTGGCTGACGAAAGCTCGTGTGGTATTCTTGTGTTCGGTATGTAGAATTGCTGCCTGTTAAATGCTGCACGGTTTGTGCTGCTAATGCTGGTGGACCACAATGTCGCTTAGGTCCTGGATGCTGGTGCTTCTGCCAATGCTGCCCATAATATTGCTCAAATGTTGTCGCTTTCTTTGCTGCTTCTGCGAACGAATTGCGTTATGTTTGTAAACCAGGCTGTTTGGCAGCTTTTATTCCCATCATTTTTTTGTTTGTTTATTTTACCATTTTTTTCTGGCTTCAGCGCACAAAATTTAGGTACTTTATCATTTTTTCTTCTTTGTCTTGAAATTTTCTGCACATGCATATGTATATCTTGGCGCTGAGCCTAGTGGTGCCCAAAGTGAGCAGCCTGACATAAATAGTTAGAAAAATACGTATTCATATATGTATGTACATATGTACTTGAAGTTGGATTCTTGTGAGCCTTGGCAGCAGCAACCATACGCATTTTCTTCATTTAGGTTTTTTTTCTTTTTTTTTAATTTTTCTCTAATATTCATATTTTACCGCGCGCTTTCGCCGTTCATTTCCCTTCTCGACGACTCCATTGTAACTGCTGCTTCACGCAAAAAAAAGAGGTTAATGGGTCTTTGGCATTTGCCACATTTGAACGCGTTTGGCGGCGCAGTTTCGCTGCTTGAAAAGTTAGTGTTTGAATTTTTACATATTCACGTTTTGCTGCGTTTTGTGTATTTTTCCCCCCTTCCCTGCTCTTCCCTCGTGCAAATATTTGACCTATTTTCACTTACCAGCTCAGTCTGTTTGGCATAAAACGCACTGGCAGGGTAGAAATCGAATTGCACTTAACTGCGGAATGCAACGCAGCAAATGCGAATGTACATACATACATATATATGTATTTATGGGCGTGCGCCTAAAATTAGACTTTTACGCAACACACACACGCGCAAACAAGCACGTACATATACCTAGGTCCTACGCAAGCGAAAGTGCTTAACATTTGCCAAACACCACTAAAGCGTATGAGCGAGCGCGTGGCGAAAGTAAAAGTTAATCCAGTTTAAGCCAATGTGCACTATACACACACATGCTTAAACACGCGTACATATGTACATACATGCTTTCGTATGTGCATCTACAGCAATTTATTTATAACCGTGTTAATGTACATAAAGTTTAACATTTATTCGCTGCTTGTTGCTGTAGGCATTAAAATTTTTATGCGTTGACCCAAATATCAACACAGTGAGAAACGATTTTGGCTGGTCAAGACAAATAAATCCATATCCATATCCAAATACGCTTACTTGCCTGCTTTTATGGGTAATATACNAAATAAATTCATACCCATATCCAAATACGCTTACTTGCCTGCTTTTATGGGTAATATACATATGTATTGCATATGTATGTATGTAGCCAAATGTGTTGATGCGCTGTATTCAACGTCTCAACTGGTTAATTGCTGCCCAGAGACTGTGGACTGATGGAAGTCACTTCGCTGGAATATGACTCATTTAAAATATTTCCAGCTATGTATGTATGTATGTGTAAGTAGCGCCAGTTAATAATAGTTTATTGATCCGGTGGGCATANAAATTTTTATGCGTTGACCCAAATATCAACACAGTGAGAAACGATTTTGGCTGGTCAAGACAAATAAATTCATACCCATATCCAAATACGCTTACTTGCCTGCTTTTATGGGTAATATACATATGTATTGCATATGTATGTATGTAGCCAAATGTGTTGATGCGCTGTATTCAACGTCTCAACTGGTTAATTGCTGCCCAGAGACTGTGGACTGATGGAAGTCACTTCGCTGGAATATGACTCATTTAAAATATTTACAGCTATGTACGTATGTATGTGTAAGTAGCCCCAGTTAATAATAGTTTATTGATCCGGTGGGCATAAAAACTGCATTTGAGGAGAAATGTATGTACATTTGTATGCATAATATATGTATAAGAATAAGTATTTCATGTCCATTTAAATTTAATCAGCTTTAGGTGGAATATCTAATCATTTCAAATATTTACCAAAGCTTGAAAAGTAAAAAGCAAAAATTAAAAAAAGATATCTCAAAAATTCTCCAATGAGGCGAAATGTTATCAAACAAATTTTGCAATCACTCGAAAAATTCCAAAAAAAGGCCAAAAAATTTTCCAAATTATACCGAAATTACCTGAAAAAAACATTAAGCGTATTCACGAGCCGGTGCATACTGTCTAGCATGGTGTTCAAACAACAACAGAATTAGCCAATCATGCTATTTATGCCATCTACGTACCATGCTAGACAGTATGCACCGGATCGTGAATACCCCTATTGAATACTCCAAATAATTTCAAATATTCACCAGGGCTTGAAAATTAATAAAACAAAAATTAAGAAAATCCTGAAACATTTTCGCGATACGTTAAACTTGTCACAGTTAGAAATCAGGTTTAAAATTAAAATGATATGAATTTACCCCTTTTTTTACAATTTAGTGGGTGGCAGGTTCGAAAAGTTATTTAGCCCCTCTCGAGGTTGACTCTCCAACTAGGAGTAGGGGAGCTGTCTAGTCGAAAGTCGAAGAGCCGTTTGTTCAATGTCAGGTTAACACGAAACTGAGGTGGAAGCTCCGGTTAAATACAACACTTTCTTTATTGATCACATGCTATATGTATGCATGATGTCAAAAACGTCAGTAATGATGTTTAACTGGGAGGTAGTGATAAGCAGACCTAAGTATTGAAGCTCTAACCTAACCTAATTTATGTTCACGAGTTGTTCTAAGTGTATCTCCTTGTGACCGGAATAACGCGTGTGGCCACGTAAACCTTATCACTACTTAAAAAAAAATATATATCAGGGTGAATCGTGTAAGTTAAAAAAAAAATATATATAAAATATCATACATTTTTTTTATATAGTTCATACTGTAACAAAAACTATTAATTCAAACTTTGTAAAAAATTTTGAGAAATTTGGCAAGTTTTCACCAAAATTTTAAATTTTTTAATTAAAATTTTTTAAGAAAATTTTCTTGTGTGCACTTTAAAAGGTCATTTAAATTTAAGTGTAAGTTGAAGTACGTCAAAATTCTGGTTGATTTTAGACAATTTTCTATCATCGAGTATATTGGATCAGACCCAACTTGCACATTATTATCTAAAATTAAAGTATTGGCCATATATATATAACACCCCTATTTCAAAGTAATATTGTTTGACACTTATATTTAGTTATTAGTTTTTAAGAATTTTCAATTAAAATACAGTTCATTCTCTAACAAAACCCATAAAAAACCAAGTTTAAAGCTTCGTAAAAGACTACAAAAATATGAAACAAATTTGCACTTAGATTCCAAACTTTTTTCTCAGAACTGTTAGAATTTTTTTGTGTACACAGTTTTATAGACCATTCTGATAATGTGTAAGTTTCAAGTCGCTAAAAATTATCGTTGATTTTTTAGAACTTTTTTTTGTCGCAACACTTTCGGCGAAAACAATTCTAAAAAATCAACGGTGATTTTTAGCCACTTGAAACTGGCACATTGTTAGACTAAAATTGAATAGGCTATAAAACTGTGTACTCAAAAAAATGCTAACACTTCTGAGAAAAAGGTTTGAAACTTTAGTGAAATTTTGTTGAAGTCTTCTACAAAGTTTTAAACTTGGGTTAATATGGGCTTTGTTAGATAATGAACTACATTTTAATTGAAAATTCCTAAAAATAAATAAATAAACATAAGTGGGAAACAATATCACTTTGAAATGGCGGTGCTATTGTATTGGCCAATACTGTATGTAAATGGGCTATCAAACTACATGCCCGACATTTTGATAAAAAAGTAAAAAAAAAATATATGAAATATTCAAAATTTTGTATATTGTTCACTATATTAAAAAAAAGTATATATATTAAAAAAATGTTTTATTTTTATTAATGCACAAAAATTCTACCTGATTTTTTTAAGTGCAAATTTGTTTCACTATATTATAAAATATTTAAAAAAGTATTGTGATTTTATTAAGGGCTCACTACTAGTGTGGCAGTAGCCTCTATAACTTCTGGCCGTTGCACAAGCATCGAGCAGGGTACCATACTTTTTTCGGGGAACACAAACCAAAATATAAAACAGTAGTAAAAATATTTAGTTCAGAATAAATTTAAGGAGAAAAACTATATTATTTTTTATTTAATTCAATGCCTTCTTATGAATAATACTTTTAGCTTTATCATGCAGTGAAAAATCATGAATGCAACACGCTCATCTCACTCGTAAGCATGTGACGTACATATAACTGACCCTGGGGAAAGCAGGCGTTTTCCAGCAATAACTTTGTAATTACATTTGTATGTATGTATGTACATGTGTAAACCACAAATAACAAAATTTATTTTAGAGTAAATCGATGCCAATTATTTAAACATCATTAAATATTAGTTGAATTAAAGCGGTAATTTAATTTTTATTTGAATATATGCAGAAAAAGTGTACTTACACATACAGTATTGTCAGCTGTTTAAATATAACAAACCACTACCGAAGCGCTTCATATGCTGGTAATAGAGCTTTAAATTAAATAATAATATGGATTTGGATAAGACAAACAGCCCATCGAAAAGTGTTCGCTTACCTGCAACGAGAAAAAATAGTTAAAATTTAATTAATAAAATATAGATAATCAAATATATGTATGTATATGTATGTATGTACATATGTATTGACTAATTATACTTTTATAGCATGCAGCTGCATTGCGTGTGTGTATCTATTTATGTAATTGTGGTTTACAAATTATTCCTGTAAAATATTCAAATTGAAATTTAAGCAACCACAGCGGTTTCGTAGAGCAAAACGGCTAGCGGGTATGGCAGCGTTTGTATTAATTTACTTTTTTTGTTTAGACATTTGTGTTTATATACATATGTATAAATACGGTGACCATTCGTACCGATTTTGGCGGCACAGTACCGATTTTGATAAAATTGTCCCGCTAAATATTAAGTGTGCCGATTTTTCATATTTGTACCGATTAAATCCCGATTTTCAGTGTTCAGTCTGTCATTACTATCTCATTTTGGGTTGGCTTTCCTTTATGGCCGTTCGTTAAAGGGGCGGTGGGCGAATGGCAAGTGGGCGTGGCACCTCTAACCCACCTTTATGGAGAGGGAATGAGCTGGCATTGACAAAAATGCAACCGCCAACCACCTAGGTCCCCTATGGTTCCCTAGCGACCCCTTAGAAAAATTGCCAAAAATCACAGTTTTCATTTGCGTTTATTCGCTTGAAAAATGTTAAATATTCATTTGCACAATACATTTTTATATACACATTTTTATATACAAGACATTTTTATAAAACACCCAGTAACCAAAAAAAACATCACTAGGGCGGCAGCCCCAGGTTTACCACACAGAAAGGGAATTCTAGTTACCTCATCCTTTCCCAAGGTTACATCACTGGGGCGGTAGCCCCAGTTAGGTAACACAGAAAGGAGAATTCTACGTAGTAAGTATAGTATAATCCGTAAGCGCGGCCGAAGACCGCCTACGCGGAAAGGAATTCCACGGAAAAATACTGTGGACGCAAGTAAAAATTGCGATTGTTGGCCATTTTTCTAAGAGGTCCGTAGGGACCCATGAGGGGCCTAGGTGGTCGGGGTTGCATTTTTGTCAATGGCGGTCCATGCCCTCTCCAAAAGGGTCGGTTGGAGGTGCCACGCCCACTCCCCCTTCGCCCACCGCACCTTTAACGAACGGCCATAATGGAAAGTTTCCCCCTCATTTTTTAAGGTTCTTATAACCATTTGTTAAATTTCTTTTTTTTAATAAAATGATTGTAACTTGAATTTTGTGAAATTATGAAAAATAATGCTAATTCGTTCAAAAAATTAATGGATATGAAAAATATAAGCTGTAAATACAGTGGCGAAAATATAAATAGGGAAGAGAGAATGATTTAATGAATGTTTCATCAAAATTTTAAGCCTTTAATTAGATTCCTTAGAAAAATTCTGAGTATCCAGTTTTGTAGCCCATTTGAATTTACAGCAAATTTTAAGTGCTAGGCCGTATCGTTAATTTTTGATTTTTTTTTAAAGCTGTTGCTCATTTTCTCCATAAAAAAAAAATAAAAATTGTCGAACATACCGAGCCGTAACCGCCAAAATAACGTGCATAAGGGGGCTTTTTTCAAAATTTTCTTTTTGATGCAGAAATATTCCTAGAGCATCTAGATGCATTTCTGCATCAAAAAGAAAATGTTGAACAAAATTTCGTTTACGTTATTTTGGCGGTTAGGGCTCGATGCTGTGTATGGAAGAAATTGCGCGAACAAAAAATTGGCAAAAATCAAGGGTAAGGCCAAGCTACCTCAAACTTGCACTTTATTTTAGAAAAATTTAATGGCGTACAACGCTGCATACTCAAAATGATTATAAAAAATCTGATACAAATGTTTAAAATTTTGATCAACATTTGCTAAAATTCGGCGAATTTTTATATTTGTTCTACAAAGCTTGAAATTTTGATTGTGTGTTCGAAATTGATGTTTTAGAAATGTTCCGATTTTTGCCCACATAAATCTGTTCACCGTATGTATTTATAATTAGTATATATTATTGACCACCCGTGCGTATGAGCAACCCAGCGCTGGACGGGCAACTGCCTAACCAGAGCGTGAGTTTTTAGAAATATGCACTTGTTTGTTTGTGCATTTATACACACACACACACTTACATACATATGAGCAAAATGTATTCGCGCGAGTTAATTGTCTGTGTTTACAGTTCACATATGCTGCAAATGTGGAAAATGTCAACGAACCAACGCGGCGACGACGACGACGACGACGACGACTGCCACCACTGCCATCGAACTGTCGCACACTTAGTTGCCTGTCTGTGGGTGCACGCAAGCACACTCAGACACACTCAATCGCCACTCGCTAACGCAGCGTGACCAACAAAAGTGGCTGCAACTAAGTTGTGGTGGCATCGAGCCAATGAATGCCGCCCCTTGGCTGTATAGCAGTTAGGCTAAAATGCGCATAAACACGCGCAAAGCTAAAAACACAAGCAAAAAGAGTGAGGAATTATTTTTTTTTTTTTAATTCACTGCAGTAGCCCGGTTAATGCTTAGCGGTCAGCGGTTTAATATGCCACGATTGTTGGCTAGTCGCCGCTGAACAAAACAAAAATGGCAGAAAAAAAATACATAAAGAAATAATAATAAAAGCGAAAATAGCCACTGCAGCCACGGCGGTGTGAGAAAATGCTGCTAAAATTGCAGCGCATTCCATAGAGAAAATAAAAATCTGTATGTACGTGCTTTCCTGCATAGCCACAAAACCCCTTCTGCAGAGGCCATTGCCCGCAGCGTCGTTGATTGGCGTTCGCCATATGCATATTAACTCATGCGTGAATTATTATGCGCCGAAAATTATGCGAATAAATTTGCAGCTTGGAAATTGTAAAACTGCGCTATTTCGCTTGAATTATTACTTTACCTGCGCCCCATATGTACGCTACATGAGAGCCTCATTGTTAGCCATGTTGTTGTGCCTTTTCATATGCAAATGTATGCATATTGCATTGTATTGTGTTTGTGCAATGATTTAGGTGCTGAAGTGTTAGTAATACCATAAGTCAGTTTATAGGCGATTGTAAATTCATTGGTACATAGAGTTTATTTTTTAGCAAATGTAAATTATTCTACAAATTAGATACGCGTTGGTGAAAAATTTCAATGAAGTACTGGCTTTGAAATAAAGAGTCAAAGAATGATGTGAAAACCTTATGGCCACAGTGATATTTCGGCGGAGCAAATTAAAATTTTTTTAATACTAAATTTTTTTTATTTGAATGGTTTAGCCTAACAAAGTGATATTTGCCTAAAAAAAAATTTATCATAACTTTGTACGAAATCGACAGTATTATAAATTTTATTCAACTAAGCAATGTATTTTTTTTTATAACTTTTGTTTGTGTTATAGGTTAATGAGAATACAGCACTTACTGGACAAAATAGAGAAAAAATCAGGACGATCAAGCCAAATATTTGAATATTTTAATATATATAAGGAGATAAATGATGGGCAACGTACCAGGATTTAAAGTATTTTCATGTCCACTAACAAAAGCAAAAAGCAAAAGCTTTCTATATTCTGATCAATTTTTACTACTCTTGCAAAAGATGCTATCATATTTATTTATAAACTTTCAAAAGTCTCCATCTTCTGAAGAACTTATGTCGTATAGACTGTTAATGTTATGTTGTGTTATTCTATGTTATGTCTTAATGTTATTAGGCACTTATTTATCCAAATTTTTAGGTAATGGAAAAAATATTCCATTTAGATGTTACTTGTTGTCGTAGTCGTTTTTTTTTATTAATTTATGGCTTACAATTATAAAATCACAATACGCTGTTTGCAAGTGGGCTACTCAAATATGACATTTTTTAAAAGTGCTAACTTTGAAAATTTTGGTGGACAACAACTTCGTTTCTGCGGTCTTCCTCCGTCCTCTAGCTATACAAAACTTAAAGACCGGAATATTTTCTATCGATTTCTGAAAAAAAATGCTGCGCATATTTACGACATTTAAAATAAACTTGTCTATTAGGGTGGTCCAAAAAAATGCATGTGAAAAAGTAAGGTGGGAATTTTAATGCTCTCACCCCCTCGGATTGTGCTATACCGAAAAAATATACTATATATACCATATTTTTTTATTTTGAAAACAAAATATATTTAGAGGCCGCTCAAAGCGCTCAAAGTTTTCCATGTATTTTATATGGGGGAAAAACACTTTTCGTAGAAATGGTATAGAATTCTTGAAAATCAATATTTTTCAATCGGCAAAACTTTGTTCCTCTTCAGAACATTCCCAGTAATATTACCCAATTATTTATTTAACCATTATTTTTTTTTAGTAACTATATTTTTTAGGTCCGCCAAAACCCCCAGCGGCTAATTCTTCGCCGCCGTTCCTAAATCCTGGGAGAAAGTTGTCACTGAAGATAAGGTAGTATGGGTCATTGAATCTACTAGTCGTATACATTTTCGCGTAGTCCGCAGCATACCAACCATGCTTGGAAGTAAGTGTATAATCAAGTTCTAACGGATTTTTTCTCGATTCGAACTGAAGTCGAGCGAACTCCCGTATGAGCGTTCTGCATCGACCAGAAGAACTAGCAATCGAAGGTGCAAAGTCTGCGCTAAAAGGCGGGTGGGTTAGGACTTCCCATCGGGTAACATCGATATAAGTTTTGACCATTTTTGCAATCTGCGGCGGGGCATTGTCTTGGTAGAAGATCAATCACCCTTGTCTGGTTGCCCATTCCGGCCGTTTTTTCGGAATCGCGCACAACAACAGCATCAATTGTTGTCTGTAGAAAGTCTGACCGCTTTTCAGCTGCTCATAACACAGTATTGCCTTCAGGTCAAACTAAATGCAGAGAGAGCATTACCTTGCTGGCGTTGATATCTGGCTTTGGCGTCGATGGTGCTGGTTCGCTGTGCTTAAAATATGCCTTTTGGTGCTTTGGATTGTCGTAATGTCAA